ACCGATACAACTTTGAAACTGTCTTTAGATGAAAGGAATTACTGAAACATTTATTTCCTGAGAAAAGATTGGAATTTCGCGTAGCAGACCAACTTAATTATACAGCTGTTCATTTTTAAGTAGCTTGGAGCGCTCGACATTGCTTCTCAATTTCTGAACTGTCATTCTTATTCATTTCTTGAGTTCCGAATAAATATTAGGCTTTACTATCACATCTCATTTGAACTGGGTTCTTTGCCATCACATTCATTTGACTGCACAAGCTTTCATTTCGGCCCACATGATCTTCTCCATGTCAGTGACCACACGTGCAGCTGATCTCTTTTCACTAGGTTCTACTCGAGGGTCTGTCGTGTGATGTTACTCAAAAGTCCTCTTGGCGCATGTTTAATCCAGTTCATCTCAATCAAGAATATCGGTGATAGTAGGGAGCCTTGTCTTATCCTTGTCTTCACCTCACAGGCTTCACTGGGTTTTCTATTGTGAACCACTTCGCAGATGACATCATCATATAGCCAGCTGTTGAGTAAGATGTATAAATTTTCCCAGTAGTACACTCCGTAGTGTTGAAGTAGTTTCCAGCTTACTTCATGAATGATGCTATGGAAGGCCTTTTCAAAGTCTATGAAATTAAGCCAGAAAGTTGACTGTCATTCCATGTTCTATTTGATGATGCATGGCACTGAGATTTGATCTACGCATGAACTTTATTTCCATGACCCAGCCTGTTTCGGGCAAGGCTTGAAATCCAGAGCATCTTTTAGACTCTCCAGAACGATGCCGCGTAATATTGTGTTTCGGATGGATGACAGCATGATTCCACTCCACTTTCTGCAAAGGGTTTGGGGTGTTAAAGACATGGCCATCCTTCAAATCTATGGGTGCCTTTCCCCCTTTGAAGCCTTCCGATATAGCGGCGAGAGTATACTAGCTGACATCTCTCGATTCTGAGGAATTCCGTTTGGTCCTACTTTCGGTAACTTTGCTACTTTCAAGACCTCTGCGTTGTTGGCAGTCAGAATTCATGGGTAGCTACGAGACTGTTGGCGGTATTTCTGGATGACATGCAGGTGATGATCGATTCATGAGTCCTATGAAGTGATCAACCCAGTGTTTGTTCTGCCTCACCTCTATGGTAATTGGGTCCCCTTCAATACGTCTAATTGGCTTCATTTGTGCTGATCTTTTTATGTACAGCAAACTGGTTATTTCATATAGTGTTCTGACATCTCTCTTACTTGCGGGCCGTTCTGTTTCACTTGTCTTCCCCAGCACCTTTCTTCTTTTCATTTATTCAGTGCGTAGTAAATTGTACCCAGCTTTTAAAACAAGCAATAAAGGTACCCAATGGTACTCAGCTTTTCTTTACGTTTTTCGTGGTTCATCGCATGCTTGTGTTGTTCGCCCCGACTTTGGCATTCATATTACCATTTGGGGTGTCCATTATCGTTGCATTTATCTCTGGAAGTCCTCCTTCTCCACCCGTTATGCGTAGTTGTGGTTGTGTAGCGTTAAATAGCTGACATTTTTAGTTGAATCTTGCTGTCATTATTCTGGAGGAGATTGGTTCCCGCTGCATAAGTGCCTTTTATGTTGCTGATGACATCATGATAGACACTCGTTCAACAGTCTTTCATTTTCTTCATAACTCTATGGGTATTTTATGTCAACAGGTGGATTTCCTTGAAATAAATACATCTCTTTTGTTAGCAGTTAAGTATCCATTGATGTGTAGTTTGTATATTTCATCCTATTCTAGTTTTCTAAGTATGCTCTACTCCGAATAATGATAACAGTGACAACGATGATAAATTCTATTACGGTTATGAATTTATGGTTGTCATTATTTGTGCGTTGGTGGCACAGCGGTAGAATACTCGCTGACCAGGCATGTGATCCGGGGTTCGATACCCGGCCGACGCACACTCCTTTACCTCGCTAAGCCAGTAATATGTCTGGTAAAGAGGGAAGGTTGGGCATGAGGTTAGTAACCTCATCCTGTAAAAATAAACACTACTGCTACCGAAACTTCAAGGCTGTAGCTTGAAGGTCTGTGTTCCACTGAGAACGTAAAGGAATAAAAAGAATTATTATTTTATTTTTAATTTGGAACTAATTGAAGCTGCTTTCATGAAGTGATTATAAGGTGACATCTATACATAAATATATATTTGCTATGATCAAGTGATTAATTTATAAACTCTTACATGTGTTACTAACCGACCATGAAATAATAATAATAATAATGCAAAACAATACTACGAGTAAATGTGATTCTATCACAGCCGGATGAATTGAGAAAGAAAGAAAGAATATACATATATATCGGCTGGATTTTTTCTTTTTACTGAAATTGACTAGAAATGTGTAATTATTAATACCGTCTGGTATTTCATTATGATAATTATTATTATGTCTATGCTTTTGTTATGACAAAGAAGAAGAATATTATATAAACGTCCTGTCTATCGCATGATTTAACGGCATTATAACACACAAATAGAGACATCAGAATATGTTTTCAGTGAAAAAACAAACAAAACAAAACGAAACAAATTATTCATTTAAAGTATTACTATTAGTTGGATAATACAGCATAGCACACCTAATAATGTGATTGTTAAAACTAGGGGAATTTATTAGCAAACAAGACTACCGAAGAGTCTTTTGCACAATTATACAATCTTGGCATGAGTGTATACACACGAAAATATGTACATATACAATATAAAACTAAAAGTAATTGATAAGAAATATTTTAGCTTTACAGTTTATAATTGATTCTGTGTTGTTTGTTGCCAAGCGACAAGATATCAAAATAATAACAATGATAATAATTAATGCTGTAGTAAGGAAGTTTTATATTATGTGCATATTTATGAAAATAATGCACTTATATATTTTTTCAAAAACTCTTTTTTTCTAAATATCGGAAAATAATAATTCAGTAGTATATATATTATACATGTGATGTATGCAATGTTTCGTTATTCTCGAGTTAATGCATCAATCACCATCAACGGGAGAAATTTTTGAAAGAGCTAACTTCTTGCATCGTTTCAACCACAGGTGGAACGGATAAAGATGACAAAGCCAGCCAGAATCGGAAAGTCCAGGCAAACCTTCAACACTCTAAAATCAGTTTGGAAATCTTCTACAATCAGTTGGCATAAAGAACAAGATTTGGATTTTCAACATAAATGTCCAGTCAGTCAGTTCTTCTATATGAGAAACTGTGTAAGAGAAACAATGAATAACCTGTTGGCCAAGAAATATGCAAAAGGAAGTCGAGTTGGATTGGGCAAACGCTAAGAAGACCGTTGAATGACATAGTGCTCCAGGCCATTGTTCGAGTGGAAGGTGAATAGGTGATGACGAGTTGGGTATCCGGGTGTGACGTGGAGGAGATCATAGGAGGAGATGAGAGATTATGGACAATCGCGTGGCCAGCTAAAAAGGATCACATGGAATAGAAGAAAGTGAAAATGTGCTGTTGAAGCCCCATGTTGCAAATGGAACCCAAGGAAACAATAATAATAAATAATAATAATTCTCAAGTAAATATGAGTGTGAATTACAGTAAACGTGTCTCCTGACAGTACTTTTTTAAGGACTGACTAGTATTCCACACAATCCTACACACAAATGAACTCGACTTTGTTTTCTCATAGTAAATTCAATGAAGTAACGTAGGGAGAATAAATGTATTCTTTATACTCTGTGTCTACCCTGAAGTTTCTGTAATGACTGAATTGATTTTCCAGTTTAGGGTCTCTAGCCACAAACCCAAGCTTCATCTATTTCTCCAGCTTAAGACTCTATAATAAACTAGACAAAGAGTCGATTCAGTTACATCACGCGCCAGACATACCCTCGAATGGAGGCCGAACACGAAACAACAAGTTGGGCGTTGTTTCGAAGGTGACATAGGTGAGACCATATGAAGAGTAGATGAGAGTTTCTATTGGTAGTAGTGAAGCTGTAAAGGACTGCAGAGAACCGAGTGAAATGGATATATGCTGCTGAAGCCTTTTGTCTCATGCGAAACTGAAGGGAATGGTGATAATAATAATAATAACATAAATTGCTGTTCGATTATATATTCAACATTCTTTCCTAGTTTTTCTGTATTCTTCAGTATCCTTATCAAGTTAGAATAGCAATTTCCAAGGGAATATTTCTTAGAAAAGGATTATATGCACTCAGACTTAACTGTGTTTAGCACTGAAAAACAATATCAAAAAATGTTGACTACTACTGTGGTGAGAGCTGTCTGCTTAACCTTGAGGAACTCACCAACCAATCACAGCAGACTTAACATGTGCAAATACGACTAGCAGATATTCGGCCTGACTATCTAAGAAACGGCCACAAAGAGATGACAGCATAACCTTCAGCAAGAAAACAACCAATCAGGAGACATTGCTTCTCTGCTAACAGCAGTGCTAATAATAATGTATATAAAAATCTGTAAATAGCTATTGATTTCCTCAATAAACGATCTGTTGCCTGGCTCTTCTCTTCTGTTGTTTCACTACCGCTGCTACTACTATTCTTGTATGTTCCACTGAAAAGAAATATGTGTATACTGTAATTGGGAATTTATGACATCTGCAGGAGTCTTGAATAGCAGAGAGACAGATTAACTTGTAGAGAGGAGGAATGTAGGTCACTGTGAAACGAAATGTGAAGTAGAGGATGTGAAAACAAAAAAGTGGCAGATTACGACTGGAAATTGAAGTTTCAGTGTGAATGTTTTACACTTTGATTACTTTTATCATCAAGGACAAATGAACGCATCTGCTATCAAATGCCATTGTGTGCTGCGATTACAATTAATTTCACCGCCTAATATATCATAAGTACTCTAGCCGAAGATTCATGTGGCATTTTCTATGCTAATATCAATCAGTGTAGTTGCGGTTGTTTGCCCGTGTACAATTTCGAAAGCCAAAATTAGAATAAAATATCTCCTTTTTTTCTGTTTTATGCTTTTGCAGTTTAATGCGGCAGACTACTACAGACATCAGTAATACAGTCGGGTTGTCATCACTGATGTCATCATCGTCGTCTGTGTCATCATCATCATCTTCATGGCGTACTAATTTTAGATCGAATCGATACTGTTACAGACAAAGGTAATTATTTTTCCCACATACGATTTAATAGTTTGCTTCTTTTTCAGTTGAAATGAGATAATATTTTTTATTATTATACAGTGTTTTACGAATTTCTACTCACTGATTTCTTAATTTATCTTTTTCTTATTTCTTTACGTTCTCAGTGGAACACAGACCTTCAAGCTATAGCTTTGAGGTTTCAGTAGCAGTGGTGTTTATTTTTACGGGATGAGGTTACTAACCTCATGCCCAACCTTCCCTCTTTACCAGACATATTACTGGCTTAGCGAGGTAAAGGAGTGTGCGTCGGCCGGGGATAGAACCCCTAACCACCTGCGTAGTTGGCGAGCATTCTACCACTGTGTTACCAACGCACGATTTCTCATTAGCTTCATGTAAATCACATTCCAATAGTTTATGCATTGAAAGTCACCGACAATTACAGTCAGAGGCAAAAAGGAATAATAATACATCATGTTTTGGTTACCTAAGTCATTCATTAGCTCATTGGTCACTCGTCTTTCAGCCAGTGAATTTCGGATTCAGATTCCACCTACTTCAACCTGGGTAGCCGAGTATTATCATCAACCAAAAATTATGGATCTTAGCTTCTTACGCGAAACATTTCTTCTGGTAAGGTGAGATCGAACTAACCGTTTCCTCGTAAACTGAAATGTATGGTAGTGTGTAAGTAGTGTAAGTAAGAGTGTACCTGAAAAAATGTATATACTGCTACTCTTACCTCCTTCCAGTCTCAATCTGAACATTATCAATGAATTGCGCACATAAAGAACTCTATGGCAGATTACAGATAAGATGAAATGTTCATCGTGGATCTCACTGTTACGCAAGAAAAAATGTATTCGACTTTATTAATTAAAGTAAGGGGTAATAAATAGGGAAGATTAAGTATTATTATTATTATTATACACATTTAGTGTCTCATTATTTCATTGGATGGCTTGTAAAAAAAGTGACTGATTGTAGGGTAACTTTATCGATAAATTGATCGTGACCAGAAATCTAAGCCAAGCTGCATAAAGCAGTAGGCTACTTGGATTACTGGGACACCTGTTGTTTCATCAATGCATCCAATTTTCTTGTAATTCTTATTGTTATAATCGTTCAGCTTTCTTCTTAAATCATAAAATGTACTCATAGAAATTTTTAATTGATTTTAGAAGTACAGAAACGAAAGAAAAGTATCATAGGAGATTAGTCTATGCTATGCTTCAGATCGAACAGCACTGCATCACATGATATACTATAGGTCGTTGTTTTACTTGAAGACTCTAGATGAAGGTTGGAAGAGAGTTGAGAGTGATGAGAGGAAAACATGACAACAGTCGATGAAGTCCTTGATTGTTGGTCTGAGCTGAGTAAAGAGAGGTGTAGTCTACCTGGTGTACATGGTCAGGATACTAAGAAATGATGGTTGGCTACTCTTGATGACTTGTCTCCAGATTTCTGACAATGACTCACAACTACTCACTATTTATTGTCGAAATTCTCGATATTTTCATTAACTCTTGATTAAACTATTCTTTCTCCCACACACACCTTTGTCCACGGTAGTGTCATTACGTTCCTGTTCTCTCACTGAATGTGTACTTTCTCGAAGTGTTCCAAGCTAAACTGACGCATATGTGTGCTAAGTTCTACGTTAACTCGTCAACGAGTGAGTAAGTGGGATAACAAGTCATTGAGTCAACCAGTCACTAGGGGGATATGTCAGTTGTTGGATGTGGGAGGCAGCCACTGAAACCCTCACACTGGCTAGCTTATGGATGAGAATGTCAGGTGTGTATGTGACGAGGAGTTGACTCATTAGCATCAGATTGATACTCTTCCTAAACAAGCCTGTAGAAACAGGACTGAGGATACTTGATAGCTTGGGGTGAAACGTCAGTAAAAATCAGAGGATGCAGGTAGCTGATCATTCGAGTTTATAAGAAAAGCAAATAATCTTTCTGTGATGTGAGCACAGACGGCAGATCAACTTAAGTGATATAGTACTTAAGCTTCTATCATCCATGGTCATATGAAGACTATGTGTAGCTCGGTAGAAACAGCCCAAGGGAAGCAGTCAGGTTTCAGGCCTAGACTGCCTAAATTGTGCAAACGTTTTCTCCAGAGTAATTATGTTATTATTATTACTATACTTATTCTTCAATTTTGGTAAAATAATTTTCTACGCTAACATGACCAGGCAGATGTCAGGATCAATCTAGTAAAGTTACCAAGCCTTCATCAGACTTTTTACTGGTGCTATTGAAGAGTCCATTAGTTGTCGAAATTAGTCGTCTAGTGCTGTCTGATTTTGAGTAGCTCTCTAGATGTTGTAAATTTATGAAAACTTACTTCGCCATCTTACTTCTTCATCTGAATGAATGAATGACCCACCATCAGCGTTTTCGAATGCAGTAGCTAAACTGTTGCACTAACGACTTAAATATAAAAAACTCCAATGGGTTTTTTCAAGTTGTTATGTAAGTTCAGGATATGTGAGTACAGTCTTAAAACTGTCAATACACCTATTTGAACTTCCCCATCCTTATTCTAATCTTAGTAAAACAGAATGGAAACAAAGATATTTACCACTGGTAAGAAGTTTATTTCCATTAAGTGAATTCAATTTAAGTTGTTGTCAGTATATGTGTCTTATAATTTACAGGCTAAAATGGTGAATCTGTTATGAAAGCTCTACTGATTAGAATATTTCAGCTACATGCATTACAATAATCACGAATCAACGGAACTTAAAATTCAAGGGTCATTAAATGCCAACCCAAATAGCTTAATGGTCAACGAGCTTGACCTCGTAACCTGAAGGTGCCAGATTCGATCTCTGGTACTGTCGTGGATGAGTACTGCTGGAAAGTCACAAAATAGAGTAAAACAGCTGTCCAGTGCTATCAGGCAGGTTTCCAGAGGCTCTCCAACCAACATCAATCCGTAATCAAACCTGAAACAAATCAAGTCCCTACTAACAAACTCTTGAAACTTATAATTACTTCAACTTTTCACTAGTCATGTTAATTCCTGATCATAGCCTCAGCTTGGTTTAAATTTGTGGTTACCGTTCTCTTTTCCCCTGTCTGTCTGCCTACTCCCATAGAATGAATTCAAATGATACCACATTACTACTGTAAGATGAATTCCATTCCCATCCTTAAATCAAGTCAACCTGTCCCGGATCAGCCTAGCATTGTTGCAACACAATTATCCATGCCCAAGTGTCTATCCCACCTTGTTTAATTAACTGTGTATGTGTGTTTTTACTTCGATCCTTTTAGTCAGACAGTTGAACTCATGACCCAATCAGAGTATTTTTGTGAACTGTTATTTTGCTGCCCCATGTCTTACTTTGTATTATTCTGTTGAGTTTATCTTATTTATTGATTGGTTAAGTAGCCAATTAAATTCTATCTTTGTGCCTATGCTTTGTCTATCTCTTACTTGGGTTCATTCTTCTACTGACTGCTTACCTGAACGGTCGTGTCTGATCCGGCTAGTTCGTAATTTTGGCTTTAACGTTATTCCGCTCTGATAGCGGTTCTTTGCTTTCTGTTAAGCATTGTGTATTGTACTCTTGAAACCGTTAAGGTTTGTTGTATTTATATTAATTGATTTGTTTATTAATAGTACCGTAGAAACAGTGACCGGCTTCTTGTTTGTTCTGGACCGGGATAGCCTTTATCTACGCGTGACTTAATTTCAAGCGATATTGCGCTTACAGTACTTAACGTATAGAGTTAAAGTTTGCCGGATCAGCCCTTGACGGAATAGACCGTACTGAACTGGTCAGTACTCAACGTTCATCCAGAAGAAACTTCGGTGAATTGGCAGCACGCAACGTGGTTGAAAATAAATTTTTCTTTGGAACGATGCAAACCAGATCAGGGAAGCAAATTTTGGAGCAGCAGTTGGAGAGTCGGCAAGTCCCCGTTTGCATAAATGATCATGTTGATAACCTTTCGTGCCCCGGCTCTCATGTCAGTAGTTCGAAACCATCATTATCACGAGTAACTAGTGCTAAGTCGTCGCTACTAAGGGCGCAGCTAAAGGAGAAACAGCTTCGAGAGGAGTTAGAGTTAGAGAAAAAGTTGCTAAAGGCTAGACATGATGTCGAAATGGCCGAGCTGCTTGTGAAGTTAGCCGTGGACGACAAACGGAAAATTGGAAATACGAAAAGAGACACTGTCAACTACGCTCGAATCAGCGAAGAAAGTATCCAAGACGACATCAGAAGGCCATATGAAGCTGAGTTTAGGGATACTGAAGAAAACGAACACTCATTTTCTATCGAAGATCCTAAGGCAGTCGAGTTGGTTACTCAAAGCACCGTCTTAGAAAAGGGGCATTACATCATTTCCTTGCCATGGAAAGATCCAGCAAAGGTAACGGACAATAACTATGTGGTTGCCATAAATCGGCTACTCAGTCTGAAATGGAGGTTATCGCGTGACAAGAACCTTTCAGCACGATATGTGGATGGTATAAATACGATGTTAAAAAATGGTTATGCCCTTCCGGTACCCCTAGAGCAGCTAGCAGCCAACTATCGCCCGAGGTGGTATCTTCCACATCATCTCGTAAAGAAACCGAAAAAGCCAGATAAGCTGAGAATAGTTCTAGATTGCGCCGCAACATTTAGAGGCTATTCTTTGAACGATAAGCTATATGAAGGACCTGATACGATTACCGAGCTTGTTGGTGTTCTGTTGCGCTTTCGAGAAAAGCCTATTGCTGTATTCGCGGACATAGCTGATATGTTTATGCAAGTGAAAGTGCCACTAAATGATCGACGAGCATTACTATTTCTGTGGTGGAAAAATGGTTTTCTAGACGAAGAGCCGCAGGAGTTTCAGATAACAGCGCATCCGTTCGGGGCAACTTCATCACCCTTCTGTGTGAACTTCGCGTTGAGAAAGGCAGTAGAGGGCTTTGGTTGCTTATATCCGGAAACAGTAAGAGAGCTGGGCACGAGGGTTATACGGTGTAACATGATTCATAAA